TGACCCAAGCCATGCGCTATAGACTACTGAGATTTTAGGCTCTGTTCTTTCGAGGCTTACAGTATTCTTCATTGGCCATACTAGAAGAACTCTATGTGCAAACCTCATTAAGTGAGCAGGGTTTTACCTCAAACGTACCTGTAGCCCTTGGACATAAGGCTGAAACTCTTTAGTGTGAGAAGAAGCAGATGACTGCTGTCTTAAGGACATAGAACGAGCCCCCAATCAAATGATATTTTTTTTAATCCTGCAAGTTCCACTCACTTTTCCTTTTTGAAAATAGTGGCATATATTCACATAACATACAATTCAATTTTTCAATCATTTAAAAAAGTTTTGTGCAGTCATCATCACAATCAATTTCAGAACATTTTTTCTTGTACTCATTGTTGTAGCTCCCTATTTCACCCCACCCGCTCCCCAAGGCCCCAGGCAAAAAACAATCCAATATATCTACCTATCCTGGATTTCATACACAGAAAATCACATAAAACACAAAAGCAGCCTTATCACCAACCCTCATTGTGTAAATAATGTCCAGTCACTTAAGATTCTAATCTGTATAAATCAGCTAATTCATGTATTGCAATTCATAGCTTGCCTATACTTGTATAATTTCCTTTTATCAACAATGTTTTAAATTCTACACCGTTGGCTAAATTAATGACACTACCAATAGAATTACCTTATGCCCCACGGGATTATTGATATAATTCTCTAACATAAAATGACAATGATGACTCTAAGATGAACCAGAATCCTATATAAACCATAGATATATCTTGGGCTTCCATTTCATTCTAGTCACAATCTAAGAGCAATTAGTTCTTAGGACACTTGCCCTGTTTGATGCTCAACCTAATGAAGATATAACTGAAAATGTGAGTGTTATAGAAAAGTGTGGTGAAGAAACCAGATGGTGCCCAGTTATCAGAAAGAATAACATCAGGGATCTTAAAGACTTTTCTTCAAATATGCAGCCAGAAAAGCGGGTGTAGGGAGATGTCAGACAGTGTAAGATATGACAAAATAATAATAATTTATAAATTATTAAGGATTCATGAGGGAGGTAGGGGGTGGGGAGGGAGGAGAAAAATGAGGAGCTGATACCAAGGGCTCACGTAGAAAGAAAATATTTTGAAAATGATGAAAGCAACATATATACAAATGTGCTTGACACAACGGATGTATGGATTGTGATAAGTGTACAGAAAGAAAACAAGCAAACTAACAAAAAATCAACAATGACTAGACAAAACAGAAAAACCTCAATCAAAAAGAAAGCAGAAAATATTAAAAATGGAGACAATTAAAAATGGGTTAAAAGGAAGATCAAATGATAAGGTACTACATTTTAACCTAAATATATCTGCCATAATTATTTTTACAGTGTTTTCTGTATGATAGCAAGGCTGTTCACATCCCTCGACTACAGTCAGAGGGGATTCACTGAAGGCTTAATCCATGTATGAACCTGCAAATGGATTTGGGGTTTCTACTGTCATTCATAGCCTTTTGAAAACTGGATGTTCATCATTCAAACTTTGATACCATTTCCTCCTTCAGATTTGTATTTTATTATTTATAATCCTTGGGTCACACAGGCTGGTGGGTTTCTTCTATGTGGACTTAATTGATGTCTCACTTTTTAAAAGACCCTTTTAGCTGTCATACTCTTCAGTGCTATACTCCTTGGTCTTTGTCTTTTCCTTTGTGTTTAGGACCTAACTACCCCCCTTCCCTTTTTTCAGTGTTAAGTATGATGATAAGATTAAAGGGGTCTGGACCTTGAATGGAACCCTGGTGGTGCAGGGAGTTTTAAGTTAGGCTGCTAACTACAGAGTCTTCAGCTCAAAGGCGTCAGCTGCTCCTTAGGAGAAAGATGAGATTTGCAGCCTCAGAAACACACAGGGCAGTTCTACTCAGTCCTATAGGGTTGCTATGAGTTAGAATCGACTTGCTGGCTGACCTGGTTTGATTTCTGTTTTTGACCCTTGATGGCATTGCTTATCACCACACCAGTTCTGAACCACCTAACTCTACTCTTATAGTATGAGACCTCAACTCTTTTCTGGGTTAAGCCACTCTCTTTTAGGTTTTGTTGATTACAGTTAATAACTGAATATCATGACTGATATTCCATTCTTGGCTCATTAATTTACTTGGGATTTTCTTTGTCCAAATCAGGGCTTTGAACTAGTTCACATTTTCTAATATACTTAGAGTGTACAGTTTAACAAGATCCCCATGTACACATGAAAATCACTTGGCAATGTATAAGAATGTAGATTCTGATTCTGTATATGGACTGGAAATACGATTTTTCAGCAGGGAGTGTTAACTAAAATGGGCCATTTCAATGCCCTGGTCCAGGCAGACAATGCCTCCTTTCATTCACCACTCTACGTGTTCTTCATGCCTTAATGTGCACATATCCAGTGTAGTCACACAAAGTGATCAACATAAGTGAAATGCCCAGATAATAAAGGTTCTCTTATTTTTAACTGTTTTTAGGATTTCCAGATAAAATATTTTCATTCACTAAATCTGGCATGCTTAGGGGCCTTGCTGGCACAATTAAGTATGGAACTGCTAATAACAAAGTTCATGGTTTAAACCCACCAGCAGCTTTGTGAAAAAGAGATCAGGCTGTCTGCTTCCATAAAGATATCGTCTCAGAAACTCTAAAGGGTAGTTCTACTCTGTCCTCTATGGTTGCTGAGTAGGCATTTACCTAATGGTAGAGGGTATGGTTTGGGAACTCTCTCATTTTGTTGAAAAGTTGTCCAGAATGTTTTACATGTTCTTCTGATATCTGGTGCACTTTGTAAATTTAATATTTTCATGACTAATATGTTGTGCTTTCTATACAAATTCTTTATTGATGTGTTTTCCTTATGGCCCCAACTTGTCCTGATTTGATGTGGGATTGCCTATCTCCCAACCTCCCCCACCCCCACCCCCACCTGGCACTATTTTTTTGTTGTCTAAATACCTGTCTATACCATCTTCCTCCCCGGCCCAATCTAACTTATCTTTTATGATGACTATGTTGAAACTTTTCTAAACTAAAAGTAAATGGGTGGTTCTACATGAGAATAAAGGTGACACCTTGTCATTTGGTTTCCCTTTGATCCAATGTATAATTGTTCGTTTTTAGTATTTTCTACTTTGCTTTTATTCTGTTGTTGTTGGACTGTTTGTGTTTTGTTTTGATTTTGTATGTTTTTCTGTATATGTAACCTATATACATAAACCTATATAGCTAAACCTACAGAGACAACAACTGTATTGTTTCAAAGGGAGATGTAAGGGAGGTGGGCAGGAAATAGAGCTAGCCACAATGAGTACAACAAATATCATGGAACTTCTAGTGATGATGGTTACACAAGTCTTATGAATGTGACTGAACCATTTAAATGATGATATATGAATTTTATGGTGGTGAAAATGTTAAAACTAATTAATATTCTTAAAAGTTATAACCATGTACAAATGCGCTTTACACAATTGATGTGTGTATGGATTGGGATAACAGTTGTATGAGCCCCTACCTAATAAAATGTTTAAAAAAAAAGTTATAACCAACTCAATTTATATATTAATTGATCTAAAAGTAGCCTAAAGTATGCATTTAAAAGAGAGTACAATTTTACCCTGACACGTGGGATCTCCATGAGTAAGAACTGGCTTTATAGCAACTGGTTTTAAAGAAGAAAGGGAAGGCTGTCCAGATAAAAACAAAGTTAAACATTGCATCTCTTGCCACTTCTGGCAGGATTTTGTTACAAACCACACAGGTAGGATTTAAATTCAATTGCAAACTCTTTTGTTTTTGTTCGTTAGAAATTTTTTTATCCGTAGTGTCTCATTTGAAAATATTATTTACCACAAATGTGATATTCAAAGCAGGTTACAATCAATATAAGGGAAGCATCTGAAACTTACTGTTTCAGATAGCAACCTTTTATTTACTAAAATGGGCTTAGGGGGTTCTAGAAAAGAGCCAGGTGGCTAAGAGAGGAGTATGGTAGTATTGGTGTGGGTATTTGGGAAGCACGAAAGTAATTAAAAATTTTAATAATAGATAAGTCTAAACCATTTTTGCCCTTTGCAATTTTTCTATTCAGCACTTTGACTTCATCCTTTCTTTCATTTACAGTCTTCAGTATGGATTACAACTCGATAAAGAGGACCAACATTCTCACAACTGGATCAACAGGAAACATCTTCAATGAAGACTGAAGTTATGATTTTGTCTTGCTTGTACACAGAATCAATGCTGACGGAAGCAACAGTCAAGATATCAAGCGATGCATTGCTTTGGGTAAATCTGCTGCACAAGACCTTTTTAGAGTATTGGAATGCAAAGATATTACTTTAAGGACTAAGGTGTGCCTGAGCCAAGTCATGGTATTATCCCATTGCCTCATATGCATGAGAAAGCTGGATATTTGAATGAGGAAGAATTAGTGCAATTGAAATATAGTGCTGGAGAACACTGATGGTACCATGGACTGCTTAAAAGCCAACAAATGTTTTGGAAGTACAGCCAGAGTGATCTTTCAAGGCAAGGGAGGTGAGCCTTACATCTAGTCCCTGGAAGACATCATGCTTGGAAAAGTTGAGGAGCAGAAAAAAAGGCAGTCCCTTAAGATGGATTGACAGTGGCTGCGACAATGGGCTCAAGCAGAGGAACAATTGAGAAGATGGCAAGGACTGGGCGAGTTCTGCTCAGCTGTGCATGATTCCTATGGGCTGAGAGAGCCCAGCACCTTCTCCCATGCAGCTGCTGATTTTGAACTGTTAATCATGCAGATCGTGGCCTAAGGTGTAATCATTACACCATCACACCTCCCAGAGCTTCTGAAAAGACCAGAAAGAGGTATATTTCAAGTTTTAGGAAATAAAACACGGGCAAAATAAGTGATTTTATTAAAAGCTGTGGTTATAGACCTGCAGTCTGAATCATGACAATTTCCGAAGAAAAAAACAGGTTGTATTATGCAAAATAATCTATTTTTTATTTTTAAGAATAACTGGCATTAATATAGCAGGGACTGAAGTGATTATAAAAGATACCCCCCCCAAATCAGAAATTTTAGTACCGAATAAAAATGAAAACCTGAGCTGAACAATGATTAAAATGTCTGACACCTTGCCCTGTTCTGATAGAAGTTTACAGGTTAGACTTCTTGAACTATTAATGGAGTGCAAAAAAGTTAACTTACACTTCAAAGCTGCAATGCACTGGTATTTAGATTAATTGACTTTTACTGTCAACAAATATTTGCTTAAGATAAGCTCGGTTACCAAGGTTCTTAAAGGGGAAGCCAGAGGGACATGTAAATTGTAGATTTTTAGTTAGTAATAATTTGTGATTGTGTGGATAAAATATAGTATTATTAATCTACGTAAATTTAAAAAGTTGGCTCTGTTTGTCAGAGTCCAAAAGAATTCCAAGTCCAAAGATGTAGGGATACCTGTCACTTTCCCTGTGGAAAACAAGCAACAACAATGATACCATTACAAGAAACAGTATTAGAAATCCATCACACGGGAAAACAAGTGACAACAGTAATATCATTATAAGAAACAGTATTAGAAATCCATCACACAGGGGAAAACAAGTGACAACAGTAATATCATTATAAGAAACAGTATTAAAATTAGGAGAAATGTGTGGTCTAGTTCATTTCTAGTTTGGGCTTCTATAGTTCTACTTTACTAAGAATTTGGTGAAAATAGGGAAATTCTACTCCATTAGTAGAAGGAAAGAAATAAAAGAACATTAACTTAGAGTGATGTGCCTTGCTGATTAAATATCGGTAATTATGAATACATTGAATAAGTTGAATCTCCAACTCATATTATAACCTATTAGTACACTATACAACATCATAAGAACTCAAGTGCTGAACTCCAAATTTTTTTTTCTCTCTTATTCAATCATTCTTTCCACAGAAACTATTTATATTTTTAAAATGTTGTCTCTGTGCTTTATTTCACGTAAAAAATGAGAAAAGCTCGACACATGTATTATTTTTCAGCCCAAAGTCACTAAGCCTCCGATGTCTATTAGATCAAGGAATCCAGTATATAAGTGCTCTATTACAAACATCTCCAATTCTGAAAGTACTAGCCTTTTCTTAAAAGAGGACTGAGTAAGTGCCTTATATTTTAGCGAAGACGAGCCACTGACTTCCTTCTAGTGCCAGCTTTCCAAGATGAAACTAAGTGAGTTTTTGCCCTAATATTTTTACTCCGGCTTTTAGGAAGTTTCTCTTCTTTGTGCACCTTCATGTGCTGTCTGAGGTGAGAACTCTGACTGAAGCATTTGCCACATTCACTGCACTGGTAAGGTTTCTCCCCTGTGTGAGTCCTTTGATGCTGAATAAGGTGGGAACTCTGGCTGAAACATCGGCCACACTCATCACACTGGTAGGGTTTTTCTCCAGTATGAATTCTCTGGTGCTGAATGAGATTTGAGCTCTGTTTAAATCTTTCTCCACATTCATCACATTTATAGGGCTTTTCTCCTGTATGGATCCGCCGATGCTGGATAAGATTTGAACTCTGAAAAAAACTTTTCCCACAATCAGCACATTTATGGGATTTCTTTCCCGTGTGGATTTTCTGATGTTGAAAAAGAGTAGAACTCTGAGTGAAACTCTTTTCACATTCAATACATTTATAGGGTTTATCATCCAAGCTTCTTCTTAGTCTACTCAAGGTTGAGTCAAATCGAGCATCCATTCCCCATTTCTGGCGATTCTGTGTTTTTTTGTGCTGGTTTTCATGGGCTTTTCCTTGGCTTGAGCTTCGAGAAATACCACGTTTAGGTTTTCCTAACTTCATGGTGAAGAGCTTAATAAGGTCTGTCTTCTTCTGAAGTTGCTTTGCTTTCTTGGGCTGCAGTTGTTACTTTTCTGTGTTGAGGAGAACAATAAAAAAACAAAGGATAGATTATCTGGTACTTATTCAACTCTAAAACTCCTTAGCCCATCAAAATTACATACATATTTAGTTAAAATATTTATAAATTTGGGAAACATTTCTAAAATATTTCTAGTAATTTCAGAGTTTGAGCAGTAAATAAACGCCTCCACATTTTGACAGAAGTTACTTTTGGAGTTTTCATATAGGAACAGGACACTGAACAGTTAGGAAATGTGATTAGGTGTAATATAAATTTGTATTAGGTATTACTAAATGTGTACATCATTTTAGAGGATTAAAAGGTAAAGACAAAATATCTGAATGGAAATATAATAACTCAAAATAATAATAAAAGTTGCAGTAACAAAAAATCAGTTTGACTATGTCCTACCAAGTTAAACATTGATTCATTTACAGATAACTGGCCAGCTTTATTAAGGTGTCCACCTTTGAAAAGAATGAACAAATCATAATATTTCATGAATATTCCTGTTTGTTTTTATCAGCTTAGTCATTCTATGTTCAAAGCTATAGAAGATCAAACTTATTCCAACTTTGTACTGTAAAGTGTTTTGAAATAGGAACTATAATAGGTTTCCTGGGAGCCTAGTCAATAAATAATGGATAAGAAAACTGTTAGTGAAAATGTTTCACTATTACTTTTTCCCTAGATCCAAGAAAGAAGGATAACTCTTTGAAAACTTTAAACAAGAAGATTGTTTTAGACTAGGGAAAGAAAAATGTAAAAAATATTTTTTTTAATTAGTGGAATGAAGACTTAGGAAAAATTTAGTAGGCGGAATACTATTCAAAACAATATCCATAAACAAACAAACAAAATTCCAAACTCCAAATAGGTAATGTGGCAGAAGGTATGGCTACAGAGAGGATGAAAATGCATAATTGCTACAAATATTTTATTTTTTAGATAAGTTATCTATTTATTTATAGGGGTAATGGTGATTCAGAGGTAGAATCACATCTCTCACAAGAATTTCAAGTTCAACTGATGTCCAACATACTTCAAGTGCAGTCACCTGCCAAGTTTCAACAGAAATTTTACACTAAAATGGAGTAGGAAGATGGGCCTGTGGAATCAACTTCCAAATATCTACAGCCAATTAAGACCCTATGAATCACCACTGTCCAATTGGCAACCAATTATGGAGGTAGCACAGAACCAGGTTTGTTTTGTCCTACTGTGTCTGGGTGGCTTATGGAAGCTAATAACAATTTATTTATAAGACTGACTTGAAACTGTTCAAAATAATAGTCACAAACAAACAAAAGTTCAAACTCCAAATAGGTAGTAGACGTTAGGATTACAAAAGTAGTGTAATTATGACAACGATTTTCTGTATCTTTGGAAAAAATGAGAATTACCCTGAGTCTCTTTGGCTATAAGCAAATAAATAAAAATATTACCTCAATTTTCTTGCTTTAATCTTAGTACATAATTGAGATTCTATATAGACTCAGAACTTTATTTTGTCAATATAATCCCAAACCCACAGCAACGGAGTCAATTGAGACTCACAATGACCCAATATAGGGTTTCTGAAACTGTAAATCTTTACAGGAGCACACAGCTTCATCTTTCTCTCAAGGAGTCTGGTGGGTTCGAACTACCAACCTTGTGACTAAGCAGTCCAACGTCTAGCTTAGAACCCCAGCAAAGCTCTTTCATCATTATACCGGGTATAATTATGGCGAATGCCATAATGAGCAAACACCATACAACACAAAATAACAGAATGTACAACCCAGTCCACTTTACAGAACATAAACTACACCACAGACATTATGCGAAGTACATGGTATTAGTGTTCAAAAGGAGCCACGATCATAACTACATATACAATTTTTTTAAATGCACAGTCAGATCTGGTGTAAAACGCTGGGTCTATCTAATTCACATGGAAAGAACACTACAAATGCGGATATGTGAACTGAAAGGTGGCCTATGTGGACAGACAATGTGTTTACCTTTATATTGTGTTAGCTCATTAACTTTCTTAGCAGCTAGTACACGCTTTTGGCCAGGTTCTCGACCCTGCTTCTGACATCAGTTTGTA